GAGAAAGGACAAAAGCCTGCAAAGGTCTGGGTTGGAGAGGGGTTTGTTAACGAATGGCAGGGCTGGCCAGCTCCTGTGCTTCCCCTTTCCTTGTGGTAGTGCAGCGAAGGGGCATATCCCAGTCCCCTTGCCTTTGGTTGCCATGTGACTGAGTCCTGGCCCATAGAATGTAGCCGAGAGTCATTACAGGCCTCTTCTTGGCCCATCCCATGATAATCTCCAACCGCAATCCTACAAACTCTCTTCCCCTTCTACAAAGAACTTGGAGGCTACTTATCTGCATCACAGCAGAGAAGAGGCCTGGATCCCAGAGTCAATGTTTATATGAGAAATACCCACCCTGCAATGGATTGTGATTTGAATGAGAATTAAACTATTATTGTGCTGTCCTTAGGCTCTTGCACTTATTTGTTAGAGCTAGTGCAACTTACTCTACTATAGAAATTATCTTGAACTGGGATGTCATTGTAATAAAAAAATAAATATGTGGCATAAACTTAGCAATTAAGTAGCAAGATATGAGAAACCTAAAAATCTTTATTCTTCGGGAGCTTTTACATTGTCTGAGGGGTCAGACCAATAGCTACTTTATCCTTCATTCATCCCTGTTCTGACCGGACATGTTTATTGTGCTGATCTGATCCACCCACCTTCATCTGAGGCTGGAGTCACTTCCAAACCTGATGGAAAGGACAGGATCACAGGGGGCACCTTGAGCCCTTGGACTTGGAGCTCAATCCATTCTCCCCTTTTGCAACAGCTTTAAAGCTACATGTTGAAGGTGGTGGTGATACAGGATAGAAGATCCCTAGGTCCCTGGGTCACCATTTGGAAGAGAACCGCCCAACCCACATTTGATTATCATGTGAATGAGAAACAAACCTTTGCTGTGTTAAGAGAGTGGGATGGGGGGGTTGTTGCCATACCAACAAGGTTATTTCACTAATTAATATAAGGCAATGCCTGTATTTACAAAATATACCAACTAAGAAAAATCATTTGAGGGGGAAAAAAGTTAAAGTTTAGGAGAAACAGAAACATGTAGAATTCTATAAAACAGGGGAGAAAAATTCAAGGAATTGCCAACAGTATTTGTGATGGTTAATTTTATGTGTCAACTTGGCTCGGCCATAGTACCCAGATATTTGGTCAAATATTATTCTAGGTGCTTTTAGATGTGAAGGGTTTTTTTAGATGAGATTAACATTTGAATCAGCAGACTTTGAGTCAAGCAGATTACCCTCCATCGTGTGATGGGCCTTGTCCAATCAGTCAAAGACCTTAATAGAAAGAACGCTGGCCTCCCCAGAGAAAGAGGGAATCCTGCCAGCAGACTGGCTTTGCACTGTAGCTGCAACACCATCTTTTCCCTGGATATCCAGCCTGCTGGGTATTGCTTCTGTGTCTCTAGAGAAATCTGACTGATACAGTGTTAAATCTACAACATGGGTGAAGGGGATAGAGATTTTGAAAAGGCTGTCATACTTGACAACTAGAAGGAAGGGAGCAATTTCACTGCACACTGAGGGCTGAAGCTACATGGTAAGAAGGGAAGCGGAGGTGACTGGCGCTGGAGAGGCGCATGAGTGGGGGAGGAAGCCTCAAAGGCATAGGTCGGAGCGCCGAGCTCTAGAAGAAAGGGAGATGGTTTCTTGGTTGGTTGGTTTGCTTGAACTTGAAAACAGAAAGGAAAGTCTGCAGAGCACCCTGGGAGGTTTTTTTCTAAGCGAATTACACCATGGCTGGAGAACTAAGGTGGGACTTTCTCCCTTCATTAATACATGGAAGCTTCCATCATTTGTGATTCTGTTTTTTCCCCCAAATGACGTCTGCTTTTTAGCTATTTCCTTTGACTTTCAACATAAGCTTAGTTTCTGTGCCTCAGTCAACGGCCCCCACTCCACCCCCACCCAGCTGGCTCCAGTTGAAAACTGTATTAAGCCATTTCCCCAACCGCATCGCACGGAGCCCCACCCCGTCTGCTGCTGTCAGCCTCTGCCCTGTGGGCCCAGCTGAGCCACAGCCCTGTAGTCCCACAATGTGGTCTCTCAGGGGGAGGGGGTCCAGTTAACCCTGGATCCATTCCTCTGGTTCTTGGTAGAAATGGCCACTGAAAACTTTCACCCAAAGGCTGGCATAATCTCTCGGCAATCCTGTCTCCTCCCTTCTTGATCTCTGATCCGTGATCGTCCTTTATGGTCCTCTTTCTGCCTTCTTCCCTCTCCTAACTACTCTGGTGCATTGGCCGCTGGTGTCTGCCACCTTGTCTCTAGCCCTTTCTGGCCAATCCACAGTTCTGGGTTTCCTCTTCCCAGAGTCCTTTGGAACTGGAGTTCATCCTCCGAACTTCTTCAGGGTTAGGGAGCAGCTCTATTCATCCAGGGCTCATCTATGACCAGACACTGATATCGTTCATCTCTGCTGATTCATCTGTGTTATCATAGCAACACCACAGGTATAGAAACTCTCCAGTCGCAAAGGGGGAGGTGCATGGCAGAGGGTTAGACCCTTTTTTTAACCAAGCATCTTGGATGGAGCCAACTAAAGAAAGCATGGAGAAAATCAAGGGTTTTGGCATCTGTTCTTTCTGTCAACAACGATTTGAGTGCCTTCTATGAGAAGCAGTGTGGTGTGCTCTGGCTAAGCTGCTGGATTTAGCCTGCCTGGGTTCAGAGTCCCAAGATCTCCCCTTACAAGCACATTATTTACCTTCCCCATACATCAGTTTCCTCCTCTGAAAAATGAGCGCTATAATAGTGCTTTTCTCATAGGGCTGCTGTGAGAATTGATAAGTTAATACACAGGTCATAGCCTAGTTAAAGGTTCCTCCGATGTGCATATCTCCTGGGTTTTTACAAAGCAGCTCTCTTGATCTGCGCCCAGCGTGCCTTTTTGGAACTGGACTTAATCCTCTGAACCTCTTCAGGCCGGAGGTCCAGCTCTGCTCACCCAGGGCCCATCTACAACTAGAAACAGGTATCTTTCATCTCTTTGCTGATGCCTCTGCATTACCACGGCGACACCTCCAATCCTGGGAGGTTGAGGCTCACGCGGCTGACTCAGAATCCAGATGCAAGGCCCTAGGAGTACATTGTGACTACCAGGTAGGCAGCATTTTCTCCGTGCATGTAAGAAATGTCCAAACCTGGAGAGGATTTTTGAGTTTATTTGAGCCAAATTGATGATAATTACCATAAAGTAAGATCTCAAGTGCCCTGGAGAATGACAGTTTGCAGTTTCTTTTATACATTTGGAATTGAGGAAGGAGAGAAAGGAGGTTACACGAAGGTAGGAAAAAGCAAAGTACGAAATGGATTACAAGAGAGTTAGCAAGATTTTGTGCTTTCTTGAGAGTGGTTATGCTTCTGAGGGGTCTGAGAAAGAGACATTTCAAAAGTGTGTTAACCTATGTGCACAAAAACAACGGATAGGGCTTGCTTAAGGCAAAGATAGACCTTTTACTAGGGAAGACCTAGGCCTGAGGCATGACTACCCACCCACCATGCCTTGCACAGTTAGGAATTTAGGATCAGATCAACGTGTGACCCTACTTTTGGTGAGATTTATCACAGCACTCCTTTTTCATCCGCATCTCTGAGCCCCAGTCTCCTCAAAATGGTACCATGGCTTCCTGGTCTCACTCTTTCAGGGTTCTCTAGAGGTGCTTTTGAGATAATAGAGAAAATGCACTTTGAGAACTGAAACTTATCATTGCAAAGTGGAGGAAATTAGAGTTCACTGAACATCACCTTCTCTGAGTGGGTGGGAGAAAGTTTCTCTGCCCCTTTGGCCTCACCTACTTTACTTCAAGGGCCAAATGGGGTAGGCACATGGGGGCGGTAGGTGGGAATGTGGCAAAGGGGTGAGGGCAGCAATCCAAAGGTACCAGGCAGGGTTGTCCCCACGCTGTAGTCCCTTCTCTCACTGACCTGTCCTGCCATAGCCTTCACACACGTCAACATCGTTACTTTTTTAATTGTTGGCTTTCCTCATCAGATGCTCCCTGATGGAGACAGAGCTGTATGAATTGTTCCACACTCTCCTAGGGTTTGGGGCAGAGATTGGTATATGGTTAGGTGCTCAGTAAATTAAATGTTCCACCAGTGAAGAAGAGCGTGTGAAAATCTCAGAAGAGCGCCTGTGACAAGAGTCACAACTCCTTGCTTAGGTCCGTTTCCCTCAGATATCACTGTTTGCACCAGAGGCTCCTCCACGAACAAAATCACAGGATTTGGGAGTGCTGGGGGCCCAGTTCTCTCATAAAGAAAACCAAAGTTTGGAGACATGAAGTGACTGACCAAAGTCACCCAACTAGGGTGGCAGAGCAAGAGTAACCAACCCTCAAGGTCTGCCTGGGACGGAGGGTTTTCTAGGAATGCGGGACTTTCAGCGCTAACACAGGGACAGTCCCAGGCAAACCAGGACAGTGAGGGCTGGGACTGGAACCCGCCGATTTTACTTGCTCCCAGCCCCTCTACCCCTCAGATGGGTGAGAACAATGTCCAGGTCGAACCTCTTGCAGCCCCACCCCCATCCCCACCCCCCAGCCCCCGCCACCAGGCGGCCCCCACAGGCAAACGACTGCTCTAGAGGCGCCTTCCCCGTGCGCTCCCCCACCGCAGCCTCTGCGGGCGCGGAGGTCGGCTGGCTGCACCGCGGTCCTGCGCCGTGGCGCGGGCGTGGGCGCGGGCGCAGGGACCCACGGCTGCACAAAGAGGCCTGGCCGCGGCAGTTTTGAAAATACCAAGGAGTTGATCTGGGCCAGAGACCAAGAAGTGACGAAGAGGGAGGGAGCGAGGGCGGGAGCACGGGGATCGGGCGGCCGCAGAGCTCGCCGGCCTCCGGAGGGGAACGCGCGGGCGGCGGGATGGGCGGCGGGCCCGGCGCCCCCAGGCTGCGACCCCGCGAACCCGCCCCTAGGCGCGCCGTCTCTGCGCCCCGGCGCTGCGGCAGAACTCCGACACCCAGCGCGGCTTCCGCGGGCGGCGCGTAGGGCGGCGATCGGGTGCCCCTCGAGGAGCCGCCGGCTTCACCCCGGTCACCCCCCAGCTCGAACCGCCAGGAGCGAGGCCCTCCCGAGGCCCCGGCGCAAGGGACCATGAAAGGTAAGCCCCGCGCGCACGAGTTGCGAGGCGAGACCCTGCGGGACCACCTCACCCAGGCGGGGCTGAGGAGAGGAGGACTTGCCGGGGCAGGGCATCAGGGGTCTTCTCCCTGCCTGACCGACCCCCTTGCGGAAGGTATTAGGAGGACAGCGTGGAGCCCTGAAGTCAAGAAGGGGAGAGAAGGAGCTTTCGTTCATAGTCTTGTCCTGTTCATTGCTCTAGACCTGAAGAAATGTTTTAAATCCCAGAGTCGTTTCCGATCCCTTTAACCGGCCAGCGCAGAAAGGTGTCACCAGCCCAACCTTCCAGCAGTGTAAATCCCCACCCAGAGGCTCCATCTCAGGCCCCGCAGCCCCCACCTAGCCTTCTGCCCAGCGCCGGGCCAAGGGTTCTCCTCCAGAACTTAAACCCGTTCTTCAGGAGAGCCCTGCGGTGTCTGAGTCCCTCAGTCCAGGCTCTGCCTGTCCCAGCCTCGGAACCCTGGCTGACCTGCCCTGCCCTCTAACCTCCGGGGAACAAAGCAGCTGGAGAAGACCAGTGGTCCGGACCTGAGATGTCCCCAGGGCAGTGGGTCATTAAACGGTGGCCCTTGCAGCCAGTTCTTGGGATGGAAACGAGAATCAGGCTTGTCCCAGGCTTCTGGGCTTGGCTTTCTCGAGGCCTGGGAAGCACATGCTTGGTCTTCAAGCTCATTTTCAGCCTAAGGGAGAGGCAGACTGTGGGGCAGGGAACCGTTGGGGGTTTTTCATTTTTTCATGCTGTCTCCCGCGATTTTCCTCAATCCTTCCGTAGCACCCAGGGCAGATGCTTGTGTTCCCACAGTGAGAACCTCACTACCTCTTCAACTTACTGAAATGTTGAAACTGAAAAGGACCATCGAGATCATCTGCAGGGCTTGAAACTATACTCTCAGGTGATGCTGAAGAAGCAGCTCTGTTTGTCTCCTTTACATATAAAGGTCTGAGGGTTTCCCTGATTGAATACAGCCTCCATAGTGGAAGAAACTGAGGCCCAAACAGGTAGTACCAGCTTCATGGGTATGCAACCTGTGCATTCCCACAGGGCCCTGCGCTTGGATGGCTTCACACTAGGTTAATGCTCTGCCGTCTCTGTCTTGAAATTCTTAATCCTTTTTTTTAATGAGGGATCCCCACACTCTCATTTTGCACTGGGATCTGCAAATCATGTTGCTGGTCCTGTGAGCAGGAGAGAGGACTTGCTTAAGATTCATCGCTATTCCGGGGGAGTAGAGCCCAGGACTCCTGACTTTCAGGCCAGAGCACTTCCTTCCCTGTGGCCTCTGGTCTCCCGATGGCCTCACCATGTCCTGGGCTGTCTAGGATGACACAAACAAGTTATAATCAGCCCCAAGGAGTTCGAGTGGCAGCAGGAAGGGGCCTCGCCGAGAAAGTTTCTGCTCATGCTACCACGTCTACAGAGCCAGAGCCATTCCCTCCCCAGTAAGCTAGCAGGTCACTACCCAGAAACCTCTGGGAAGGTCTTAGCCCACCACAGGCCTGGAGCCCACGCTGCTCTCAGCCTTAATGATGCTGCTGAGATGCTGCACATTCTCAGAGTGGTTTGGTTCCGCTAACCATCCAGACAAGCACTGTGAGAAAGAATAGTGTGGAAAAGTCAGGCAGGTGTGAAATCCTGTGAAATGGAGGAGACACCCAGCTCCCAGGCAAGATGGGGTCAGGAACACATGACCCACATTTTTGAAACTCAGCAAGACAATTCTGCTCCTTTGAATGGAGGAGAAAAGAGTTGGCGTGACAATATTTAGAGGAGCTTGCTGAGGAGGACCAACTGAAATGTGTCATCATGTTATCAGCTCTCAGGTTCCCCCTGGCTGGCTGACTGGGAGGCTGGGAGTCCCAGAAAGAAGTTTGCAGCGTGCCCCTCTCGCCTCCTTTTCCTGCTCTTAACCAACAGCCTCAGCACCATGCGGGGCCCAATTCCTGCCCACGGAGGCCTGCAGGCCAGCTGTCAGGTATTTTCCCTCCAGTCTCCAGGAAGGCTTCCCATGTTCCCCCATAACGGGCTGGGGACCTGGGCTGCAGAGCCTGGGCTGCAGGACGAGGACCAGTGCCCAGCGCGCCTCCCTCAGGGTCTTCAATAGTCCTCCCCAGGAGCCAGGAACTGCCGCCACCTCTGCCTGAGATGGAAAAGGCAGGGCAGACAGCAAATATTTGGCCTTTGGGATCTGCAGAGTACGAAAAATCAGGATTTTTTTCACCCACATGGAAAAAGTAAAGTGCCCGGCACAGCAGGGCGGCCGCTTCCAGAGCAGCCCTTCCCGGAGGGGAGGCTGGCTTCAGACGCTTCTCCAAAGGCCCCACCACTCTGAGAATTACATCTGTTGACAAAGATTCACCATCCCCGCTCAAAGCAAAACATGGTGATGTTATGTTTTGTGGGGGAGAGGGGTGTTGGCAGGGATGGTACTTAAACAAGAAAACACGTTCTCGGAGGAGCGCTGCCACCATGGCCGGGCGCCAGGGCCGGCTCTGCCAGCCAAGCTGTTTCCACCCGGAGGCCCCCCCAACCCCCGCCCCTGCCTGCCCGCCAGCCTGGCCTCCTAGGCGACCGCATCTTTTGATGCAGTCTGGCACCTGGCCCCAGGTGCAGCCCCGCTCACACCTGAGGGCCACACAGCTGCTTTCAGCCCCTTGGTGACAGGCCCACCTTAGAGCTTCCCAATGGCTTGTCTGAGCCATTGGGAGCCACCTGTGGGATTGTTTCCGCAGTTCTGATGAGAGGGTTCTGTCATGGGAGCGCTCCCAGCTACGTGAGACCCCTCCCCAACCCCAACCCCAGAAGCAGCCTGGCCCTGCACTCAAACTCTTTCCCTCTCTGGGTCCCTGTCTCCCGGGTGTCCCTGAGGCCATCCTGCTTTGATGCACGTGGGAGCGGAAGTGACTTGGTAGAGAGCTGTTTGGAAGCAGGCCTGCTGCATGGGCCACTCTCTGCCCCTGGGAGACTTGTCCTCAGCTGCCACCGACAGGGCAGAGACACGCCCCCCCATTCTCCAAGCGTGGGCGGAGCAGCCCCTCCCCGCAGAATGAGAGCAGTGCCCTGTGGGCAAAGGGCAGGCAGGGGAGGAGGGGGCTGTGGAATACAGCAGCATGATCCCAGGAAAACCCACCTCCCACAGCTCGGTGAGAGGGGATCATACCTGCTCATGAGTGCGCCGACTGGGTCCCCTTCGGAAGCCTGACCTCCATCCCCAGACCTCGGGGCTCTGGAAGGAGCCTGAGACTAGAAGAAAAGGAACGGATGTGGCAAAGGCGCAAAGGCATGCTAAATGGCCCTGGCCAGGGAGGCGGGGAGGGGCGTGGATGTTAGGGGTCAGCTCCAAACTCTCTCTCTGCCACACACACACACACACACACACACACACACACACACACTGGTCACCGTGCCATCCAGCTGGGGTCATTTTAATAACTGAAGACTGAATGACACATCCCACAACTAATTTCAGAGAGAGGAAAAAGAATTCTGCTTCTCAGGAGATGTTGGTGGGTAGCTTGGCAGTTTTCATGGACAGGCAGCTGTGCTGGGTGTTAGAACTGGCAAGCACAGCAGCATGACACACTGTGCCAGTCATATATACACTGCCCATGTTAATCATGTTTAATTTAGCAAGTCTGTGTGTGTGTGTTGTGAGCGCCAAAGCTCAAGGCTAGGCCTAGCTCTGTCACAGGCTAGCTTTATAGCCATATAACTACGATGAAGTCACTGATGCTCCCGGGGACTCAGTCTCCTCATCTGCAAGTGGACTGGGTGATCTTTGAGGTTCTTTCCAGTATTAACATTCTACTCTACTGTTTTTCTTTCTGTGAGGGCACACACACACACAAATCCCCCCCTCCCTAGGATAGGACTGTAATGCCCACAGGGTAGTATGAGAATGTACGTTTCATGAGTGTGAGGTCCCTGTCTGCCCCTTTCTTGTCTCACTCCCGCACAGTGCCTGGCACATGGGAGGTGTCCACTGCATTCGTTCAGTGGGTACATCTGAGCCCCCCACCCGGCTGGAACCCTTAAAGGCAAGTCTCACACCACGGTATCCCCAGAATCTAATGTAGGTATTCAGTGGAGATTCGTGCTTCAATTTATCAACCAACTGCTGAATGCCAGGGCTTGTATATCCATGCACGTATAACATCCAAGAAAGATGCAAAGAAGAGCTCTGACTCTGTTCTCTCTCTCAAGAAGCTCGCCCTTTGCTAGGACACTTAAGAAGTGGGCTCAAATCATTCAAAAAAGACAAAAAGTGGTAAGTGTCATGAGAGAGGTCCCAGGAGGCGGTGTGGGGCCTTATGGGCTCTTTCTCCGTCTGTCCTCTGCTGTTCCTCTTCTGGGTGAGTCTGTGGTTTCAACCGTGAGTTCCTTGCTTCTTACTGGACAGCTGTTCTTTGACCAGTCTTGCCCAGGGTCATAGATGTGACGTGGGAATAGGTTGATGATACCTCTCTGAGCTCCATACTCATCTTTCCAGCAGGGTCCTGAGCATCTCCCTGTGCAGCCCTGCAGACACCTCCTTCAAGGCTCAGATGGGGCGCCTTTATAGCCATCTGGACCCAAGCTACAATATTAGTTATTTGGGGTGTCATCCTGCACTTTTCAATCAGCAAACATGCACTGAGTACCTTCTTTGGGGGAGGAGGCATCCCAGGTCTAAAGGCAAACAAGGATGGTTCTTGCCAGCAGGCAGAGACGCCTAAGCGAGCCAGACGATCAAGGGAGAAGATACAAAAGAACACACGAGTGGGGTCTACGGCAGATCCAATAGGAATTTCCTGAGATAAAGGGAGCACTTCAAGTCAGGGCAGTTCAGGGAGGAGGTGAAGGGTGGGCAGGATTTGACTGGGGTCATTCAAGGGACAGTCAGAAGAGGCAGGTAACAGTGCCGGTGCAAGCTGGGCGTCCTGACAGGTGAATGTGTTCAGGGGTGATGGATGGGTGGACATTGGTCTGGAGATGGGAGACAC